TATGCGTTAACATGCTCAGTTCACTGTGCAAGAATTCAGATATAATTTTATTAAGATAACGCGTTGGTTTCAGCTAGCTACATGGAAGAGACAGACTGCGCCTTACAAGATATAAGCATTGGAACAGAATGTACTAGTGAAATCTCAAACTTTTTGTTTAGGAGTGACATGCTAGCCTCCATTCCCATGCCAGTAAGTGCACCCCCTCCTCCACCTCCTTCGGGAGCTAATGAAGCATGGGAAAAAGCTCAACAAGCTTTGAAGAAGGTGCAGGATACAATCTAACTTTTTGTTCTTGGTAGTTCATGAGTGTTTCTTATCATCTTCATTTACAGATTTCTCCGAAGAAGCCTATGAAACATCAACAACCAACTCCTCTTGCTCCACCACCAAATGCGCACGCGCTTATGGTGCAGTACTATCCGTGGATGGCTCAATCATATGGTATGCAGTATCCTCCGCCTCCGACCTATTCCACGGGGTATCAGCAGCCGCAGCAGAACTTTGCACAATTACCGTCAACGAACAACCAGCCTTGGAATAATAATCAGAAGATGTGGAACAACCAAAAACAGTGGAACAAACGACCGCAGCAACAGCAGAAGCAGCCGCAAACTCAAGCAAAGAAGTTCACTCCTTTTGCTTTGGCACCCAGAGTTGCAACGCAGAAGACATTCCTACAACCGGCACAGCCCGCCGTGAATAATTTAGCGCCGGGCGGACTTGGTGTGATGCCAGAGAATGTGAAGTATGTCGCGTTTATATGTTTTTGAAATTTTGCTGTTACTTGTAGTTAGCTCACTGTCATTTGCTTGACATACAATAATTTTGAAAGGCAGAAATCTGATTGAAATTTTAAAAGCAGCTTATTCGACAATTTGATTGATAGGATTCTTGGCACTTTACTGCAGTGTGGTACACAGTTTCAGAATGTGCGCTTTTGAATCTGGAAAAACTTCTACACTTTTCAAATCAAAATTATATGCCGATCTCATACCTCTTGCTGCAAACGGTACTGAAGACGGCCCGAGA